TGGATAAGAAATTTGCAGTTAAAACCGCAAAAATGGCAGCACACAGGTTCTCGGGGATCAAGTTCTTTACATCTCCCCACGTCACTGGCTGCCTGGCATGTCAGGATTGGATTACTTGCTGTGCCATCTGTAGAGTCACCCTTGCCATTTCTGGGACTGGGTCCAGGGACTGGTGCAATGACATCCCTGGCTGGGTGATCATAATGCGCTGGAATCCACAAAGGTCCTGTTGGAGCAAGCACAGCAGTGTAGCCCCGCCCCCAAGTGATCAGAGGGACTGGTCCCAACCATGCTTTGTCTGGTAATGCCCGATAATATGCCAGAGGTGGAGGCAAGCTTGTTTTCTGTTGAAAGTGTCTCTGATAAGCAGTCAAATTTTGAATAAAAACATTCAATTGGTGTAATGTAAATAATATTTTTTGAACCTGTTGTATTACCCACGACAAATTGGGTATCCTAGATAATCCGTCCTTTTTTATTTGTTTGTGAAGGCAGTCCTTGAAAAACCAATTAGCACGTTCCACGATAGCTTGACCCGTGGAATTATAGAGAAGACCATGAGTAAAAACAATATTTTAGGTTGTATAAAATTGTAAAAAGGCCACTGAAAAATAGGCTGGTCCATTGTCAGCGTTTAGGGAAGAGGGTTAACCCAGGGCTGTAACAGCCAAAAAAAGATGAAAAATAACATGTGAAGCTGTTTCCCCTCATAAAGGTGGGGGAAATTGTTCCTAAATACCTATTTATCAATATACATTTCTAGGAAGCCAAAAAAAGAAAACATGGATAATATCCATTTGTCATAGTTGATTAGAGGCAAAACCACATAAAAGACATAAAAAAGACATACAAAAAAAAATTAGACCCAGGAAGGGAGGAGTGATTGTGTATATGAGAAACAAAATAATAAATGCTTTCAGTTATGGAGGAGCTGCTGCAAAGTTAAAAACAAAGTCATAAGATTGGGGCCAATCCTGGGCGTGATGTAAGCACCTGAAGGAGTAAAAGTAAGTTGGCACACATAATGAGAGTCAGAGATTAAGTTAAAAGACTGTTGAGAAAAGATTTTAAAAGCTAAAATAATTCTGAGCATTGTGATAAGGGTTGCATTGCAGTGTGGGACACTTTCCAGGTATCATCCTTGTAAACAATTGCTCCTCTCATTCACCCTCCATCAGAAAAAGCAATAACTTGTGGCAAGGGAGAAAGAGGAAGAAAATAGTGGCTGGACTGGAAAGGAAAAAGTCATTAAACAAGCAAGTCAAAGATCATTAGGCAAATGATATGAAAGTCAGTTAAAGCACATTAAAGAGATAAGTTATTTTTGAAAACAATATTAATTAATCAGTTCCTTTTCGACTGCAAGCTCTTGTGCATCCTAAGGTTATCATTTTAGCAACCACCTGGATAAAAAATAAAACATTTTGGGATGGGATATGATAGGTAAATATTATTCAATTCAATATACTTTCTGCACTTCTATTACAGTTAATACTCCATTAGGTACCGTATTTTCCGGCGTATAAGACGACTGGGCGTATAAGACGACCCCCAACTTTTCCAGTTAAAATATAGAGTTTGGGCTATACTCACCGTATAAGACTACCCCTCTTCCAATGCACACCAAATAAAAATTTAAAAACATCAGATTTGATTTCAATATGGTAATTTTAATTCAAATGCTTATGACATGCAGGTACTTAGCAGAAAAACTGTCATTTATAAACATAAGGCTGTCATCAAACATATAAACATAAAACAGTGCAAGTGGATTAAACTTTTCCTAATTCACTCTAAAGCTGAAAGGAAGGATAAGACAATAAAACCATGGGAGCTGCCATGCTGTTTGTTTTCTAAGCTGTCAACCAAACTGAACTGATGATGATAGGAGGAAGATAAAAAACAATAGAAAGAGCAAGTGCCGGGCAAGTCCCTGGCAAGTCAGCAACGCATGCCTCCTTTCTCCCTCCAATCCTTCCTTCCCACCCCGATTTCCAGCTCGGAAAATGCAAAGCGTGTGTGTGCATGCGCGTGACCTCCTTTCCCTCTTCCCTCTCCCTCCAATCCTCCCAGCTCAGAAAGCAGCGAGGAGAAGCGTGCGCGCACGCACACACATACACACACACGCCTCCTTTCCCTCTTCCCTCTCCCTCCAATCCTTCCCCCCCACCCTGATTTCCAGCTCAGAAAGTGCAAAGAAGCGAGGAGAAGTGTGTGTGTGGCCCTCAATTCACTTCTTCCGAATTCCAAGCTTTCTTACAGGCCAACATGATTCATCATGCCACCTCTGCGCCTTTCCACCCGTCCACCAACGGTATGGCTGAACGCATGGTTCGCATCACCAAGGACGCCTTGAAGAAAATTACCTAGGGAGACTGGCATCACAGGTTGGCTGACTTCCTCCTTTCTTATCGCACTACACCTTCCACTTCTACCGGGAGGAGTCGAGCTGAACTTCATTGGGGGTGCAAACTGACTACCAAGCTTGACCGGTTGCACCTGGACAGACTACCTTCCACAATCACACACCCCAGGGCACCTAGACAACTGCTTGTGGGTGCCCCGGTTTGGACTCGTAATTACGGGCCTGGTCATTCATGGGTCCCCGCCACTGTATCCAGGGTATCCTTTGTCCTACGAGGTGTCCCTGGATGACGGTCGTGTCCTGCGATGACACATCAACCAGCTCCGCACTAGACGGGACCTTCCCACTGAGACTCCTGGTTCACACAAACACACACATGCACGCACGCCTCCTTTCTCCCTCCAATCCTTCCTTCCCACCCCGATTTCCGGCTCGGAAAATGCAAAGCGTGTGTGTGTGTGTGTGTGCGCGTGGCCTCCTTTCCCTCTTCCCTCTCCCTCCAATCCTCCCAGCTCAGAAAGCAGCGAGAAGCATGCGCGCGCACACACACACACACACACCTCCTTTCCCTCTTCCCTCTCCCTCCAATCCTTCCCCCCCACCCTGATTTCCAGCTCAGAAAGTGCAAAGAAGCAAGAAGTGTGTGTGTGTGCGCGCGTGCGCACACACACACACACACATAAACACACATACGCACGCACGCCTCCTTTCTCCCTCCAATCCTTCCTTCCCACCCCGATTTCCAGCTCGGAAAATGCAAAGCGTGTGTGTGTGTGTGCGCGTGTCCTCCTTTCCCTCTTCCCTCTCCCTCCAATCCTCCCAGCTCAGAAAGCAGCGAGAAGCGTGTGCACACACACACAACACACACACGCCTCCTTTCCCTCCTCCCTCTCCCTCCAATCCTTCCCTCCCACCCTGATCTCCAGCTCGGAAAGTGCGAAGCAGCAGCGAGGAGACAGATTGAGACCCACAGTCATTTACCAGCCTGTGACTTCAAGTTAGCAAAAAGCAGCTGCAAACCATACGCCTGCTAGAGGTGAGCCCCTGCTAGAGGTGAGCCGCGGGGACGGATTGCTGAAACAAACAGCTTAGAGTTTAATTGCTCTCCCCACTGCCACTCTACCAATCAAGGACTCTTTTTGAGTGGGGGGGGGAGAGAAAACTTGATGAGTAATATACCAAACCACATGTGTAAAGGAATAAAATAGAATACCCGTATTTTCCGGCGTATAAGACGACTCGGCGTATAAGACGACCCCCAACTTTTAAGAAGGTTTTTGTGGCCTAGAAAGTCGTCTTATACGCCGGAAAATACGGTAATTTACTAGTAGGAAAAAAAATCAAGAGTGTGGAATTCTGTCCACAAATTGAGTATTCATGATGTCATCAATTTGTGAAACTATATTTTTTTCTGGGACTTATTGCAATCCTAAATCATTTTATATTTTCTGAAAGCCAATTAAATTGTATCTTTGGTGCTTCAATTTAAGCAAAGTCCATTCAGATGGAAACAATTTTTATATAAATAGGTTAAATATGTATAAATCTATAACAATATAATTCAGTTAGTTCTTTTGGTTGTTGGATATAAAAAATATTATCCAACATTTACTGTTTCTCTTTTGAGTAAAAAAAAATTATTTGCCGAAACTGCATAGGTGAATGTCAAGTTTCAGATTCACTCCACTCTTCTCAGATTACAATTCCAAGCAGAGGGAAAAAAAGTTTTAAACAAACAGTTCCCCCCCCTTCCTGTCTCTGGCTCTTTAAGCAACGCAGCCAGCCGAAAGAGAGGGGGGGGGGAAATCTCACCACCCAAAAATAATTTCACCTCCTTCCTATGCATTTTGCAATAAATTCTCTCATACATTCTCCATGAAATTGTTCTCATACAAATATTTCATTTCATACTTTCTCCAGGCAAACCATATATTCTTAGCAAGGCCTTTTTGTATTGTTGTTATCAGAGAGGGCTTTGAGCCTCTTCCAAGTCTTGGAATAACACAGAACAATACAGACAAACATATATACACAGATACTATTACAACAACATTTATTTAGACATATAACTTGTCTTGCAAGAAGCGAGAAAAATGACAAGGTGATTTCAACCAAAAAGTGGTTTGAGGGCCCTAATCATTTCCCATTTTTCTCACCATTCCAAGCCCAAGCATAATGTTCTGAGTGGCCACACACACAACACAAAACACAACCAGACATTTGTCTGACGGCTAACTTAATATATTACAAACTTTCAAAGCACTCTGAGGGAGTACATTTTGAGTTATGTTTAACTAATCAACAAAGAATTAGCCTCTTCAGAAGAAGCTGAAAATCCAATTAAAGATGTTTTTAGAAGGAATAAATTTTACTTAGTTGCTGGGTCCATTTTTTTCCTCCCTTCCTGACAGGAGTGAACACTATAGATGTATATACTGAAACCAAGGTTCAAGATGTAATTTATGCTCTATCTTTTAGCCTAAGCGTCCGATGCTCAGGATTCAAAGAACACTGTTTTCCTATCTCAGCCCACCAGCTTCCTTGTGTTTGCCCCAGATTAGAGGAGGAATCTGAGTTCCTCCATGCCTGTCCTTGGTTTTGCGGGGGGCTGAGATAACTTGCAGCCCATACTTACTCACTGAGGGGTCTCGTAAGACGAAAGTGCACTTAGAGGTCTGTTCCAGACGATGGTAAGTATGTTGGCAGCTGCTTCTTCCCGTAGGGGTCCCAAAACAAAATGTCCCTGCTGAGGGCGCCAGCTGTAATAATCACTCCTTAGTCATTGAAGGGTGCAAAGAAATGGCTACCTTCTACGCAGCCTTTTATTGTTTAAATAGAGATTTACAAATAGCAAAAGATACTGCATGGCAATAGCATTTCATTGGCTAAAATCCTTTACCAATCCTCAAGAGTAAAAAGCTAGAGGCCATAAACAGGGAAACTTGTTCCACCAGCCAGCCTTATCAAACTGGCAAGGTCACACAGACCTGCGTACTTTCACGTCACCATGGTGATGTGAGGGGGGGGAGAAGATAGATGCATAGCAAAGATACAAGCGTTGGGGGGGCAGTTTTCCGCACACGACTTTCGCCTGTCTCTCACCTCTACAACTGCTGTGAAAAAATATAAGAAGCCACTTTTACATCTTTTTACCTTCTTTTCTAATTTTCTTTTTTTCTCTTTCCATGCACTGTTACTTTTTTGCTTTTCTTTTTTCTTCTTTAGTGTGTTATATTAGTGTGTGTTAGTAATCTTTTTGTTTAAAAGTTTTAATAAAAACCATAGTCAAATAAAAGTTTTGGAGCGGTAACTTTCAGATTTCCCTGCTTTTGTTTAGTCTGTTGGACATTTTTGGAGTTGCAATTGAAGGGATACTAGATTATTCTCTCTCTCTTTCCCCTTCAATGGTTATTTTTCATTCAAGGGAACCAGATGTAACAAAATATTTCATCAAGAATGAAAAATTGAGGAGTACCAGTATCAGAATAAAACTTTAGGAACTACAGACATTTTGAATGTCTCAAAAATATTCTTACTCAGTTAAAATACCTGTAACTTATTTGACTTCCACTAAAAGAAGAGAATACTAATAGAGATGCTGGTATGATCAAACCCGATATTGAATGGGAAAGTAAAATATCAGAGATGGAGATTAGCCTGAATGCTACCTAGAGAATCTTTAAAAATGAAAATTGCAAATTCTCTAGGCTTTATTTTCCTCTCCATTCCTCTCTTCCATGATTCTGAAATGATAGAGCAGGATCGAGAACAAAAGTAATTGGGAAAAACCAGCAGATTGTGGCCTCATCTTCTAAAAGAGCAACAAATTAAATATATAAAGAGCTAGATATACACAACAATCAAAATCTGTTGAAGACCTCTTCCTGTTTTACTAAGAACTTGAGTCACTGGCTGGTCTTTGTGGCAATCAGGAATCTATCTCCCCTATCAGCCACAAAAAGCTCCACATAAAATATTTGTTGAAATTCAATAGAGGAGAAACATTGCCTTTTCATTGTGTGGTTAGCTAGCAGATCAGCGTTGATTTATAATATGAAATAAAACATTCATAGAAGTAGAATTGGAAGACTTGCAAAGGCCCACACAGGGCAAAGAATCTAAGCTTTTCTAGAAGTAGCTCAACCATTAAAACAAACCAGGGGGAGTGGGTTGTAGAGAAAGTCAGCATTGTTGTTGAACTGCTCTCATTCCCAAACCAGGCACCTCTCCTCTATCTTTTCCTCAGAAAGAACAAAGTTCTCATATTGAAAAACAAGAAGAAATGACTTGTCCTGGTGGGCACTGTTAAGTCCTTCGCGAAATGGCAATGACACGAGAAGCAGTTGTAGTTCTCAGGAACTCTTTATTTCTGTTCAGCATACTGGTTACAAGATGCCGACAACGCCCAAATCTCCCTGCCTCTTTTTATAGGTGATTCCCGGGCCAAACTGCAACATTTGGTGCGCTCGCACCCGCGCATGCGCGCGAGTGCTGGCGACAGCCAGTCTGGTCCCGGGCAGCTTGCACCTGCCCAGGACCGTTGCAATGCCCCGAGCCTGCTTCCACAGGCTCAGGACATAACACCCCTTCCCCCCCGGCTAAGACTATGATCATACAATAATAATATGCAACCCAATATGAGAGTGGTACACATACTACTTGTACCAATTGTCCCCTTTACTTCTATTGTTCCCCCAGTGTTCTATTTTCCTATGTGTACAGGAATACTCTCTGTTAACTCTGTTTTGCCAGTAGGGTTACAAAATCTTCTAAATACTTAGGAGATCTTCTAGCTCTCTGTGACCTCCTAACTTCTGGGTACCTTCCAAATACCCCTTGACTGAGGGGTGATGTATGCTTGTCCCCCTTGCTAAACCCTGGTGATTTCCAAGGACTGTGCTCCAATGCCTGGCCTGCTTGCTTGCCCACCGGGCTCGTCAGGCCAGGAATTCTTTCTCTGTTTGACCTGGTTGTCCTGCCTAGCTGCAGGCTCTCTGGCCCTCTTAAGTGACTGTCACTGTTGGGCAATTCTGTAGAACCTCCAAGGTCTGTCCTAGACCTGTCAAGAGGTTGTCTTTCCCCATGTTCCCGTTCTGTCCCCGGGCTTGTTGGGGTTTCAGTGCTGTCCCAAAACTCAGTTGTCCCTTGAGTGATGTCAGAGGTGTTGTAGTCAGGATTTGGTTCCTCGACCACCTCCCTGTGTGCTTGCCCCCTTCTAGGGACAGGGGTAGTGTTGGGCCAACTAGACGGACTGTGTGCCAGCTCTCTTGCAGGTGTGGATTGTTTGGATGCTCCCGGATATCCTCCCTGAATGGAGTACTGAGTAATGCGGGTGAGTAGTGATTATGCCCCCGGGGTGACTCCCTGGCTGGAGTAGGCACTGGTGCCTGAGTTCTAGTTGGGCTCCATGGATTCCTGTTTGGAGCACTCGCGGAATCTCGGAATGAGCTGTCTGTAGCTCCCTCGTTAATGATAGGCAGCAGCCCGCACTCTTCCCTTTGCCCAAAGGGGTCCGCCTCCCCCCCTGGAAAAGAACCAGGAGTCTCAATGGGAAGGTCCCGTCTAGTGCGGAGCTGGTCGATGTGTCATCGCAGGACACGACCGTCATCCAGGGACACCTCGTAGGACAAAGGATACCCTGGATACAGTGGCGGGGACCCATGAATGACCAGGCCCGTAATTACGAGTCCAAACCGGGGCACCCACAAGCAGTTGTCTAGGTGCCCTGGGGTGTGTGATTGTGGAAGGTAGTCTGTCCAGGTGCAACCGGTCAAGCTTGGTAGTCAGTTTGCACCCCCAACGAAGTTCAGCTCGACTCCTCCCGGTAGAAGTGGAAGGTGTAGTGCGATAAGAAAGGAGGAAGTCAGCCAACCTGTGATGCCAGTCTCCCTAGGTAATTTTCTTCAAGGCGTCCTTGGTGATGCAAACCATGCGTTCAGCCATACCGTTGGTGGACGGGTGGAAAGGCGCAGAGGTGGCATGATGAATCATGTTGGCCTGTAAGAAAGCTTGGAATTCGGAAGAAGTGAATTGAGGGCCATTGTCAGATACGAGGACATCAGGAAGCCCGTGTGCAGCAAAAATCCCCCTCAGTACTTGAATAGTCTTTGCAGTGGTGGTGGAAGAGACAGGTACAACCTCAAGCCATTTTGAATGGCTATCAACTAGGACCAAGAAGAATTGACCCTGAAAGGGCCCAGCGTAGTCAATGTGCACCCTAGACCATGGAGACTGTGTTTCCTCCCATCTATGTACAGGAGCTTGGGGCATTTCAGGGCGCGAGCGTTGACAAAGGTGGCATGCATGCACCTTAGCTTCAATGTCTCTGTCTAACCCAGACCACCACAAATGGCTGCGCGCAAGCGCCTTCATGTGTACAATGCCAGGATGACCCTTGTGGAGGGAACCTAAGACCCTAGTCAGCATTGAGGCAGGAATGACAACTCTGCTCCCCCAAAGCAGAAACCCTGGAAGGTGGACAACTCGTTCCTTTTGGACCAGAAACTCTGAAACTCAGTGCCTGGACAGCTCTCTGGCCATCCAGATAAAACCCAAGAAAGGACTGATTCAGCAGCCACATCCCTTGCATCTAAAGGGGACTCAGGCAAGGCCTGAATGGAGAGGATATTGATTGTTGGTGCAGGGTCAGCTTCTACTACTGGCACGGGTAATCTACTGAGGCTGTCAGCATGGCCCATTTCTTTCCCAGGTTTGTAAAGTAAGGAAAAATCATAGGCAGACAGAAAGATAGACCATCTCAGCATCCTGGGGGAGATGATTTGGAGAGTTTGTTTATGTGTAGTAAACAGCCCCAACAAAGGCTTATGGTCAGTGAACCATATAGGAAGTCATGGAATTTTTTGATTCCAGCAACAACAACTAAAGCTTCCCTGTCAATGTGAGCATAATTTCGCTCTGCAGAAGACAAGGTTCTGGAGTAATATGCAACAGGAACCTGAGTTCCATCTGGTCTGAGGTGGCTCAGTACAGCTCCCACCCCATCAGAAGCGATGCACACAGGAAGGGATTCATTGAAATGTGTGAGCACACTGTTAGAAGTGAGTAAGGCCTTAACCTCATTGAAATTTGCTTCGTGTTTTTGTGACCACTGCCAGACTGCCTGTTTGTCCAAGAGCCTATGAAGAGGTTCGGCTACACTAGCCTTGTTTGGAAGGAAGGAGTTGTAGAAGTTCAGAAGGCCCAGAAAGGCCTGTAGTTCAGCCTTGGACTTTGGCCTAGGAGCATGCAAAATAGCTTTCAATTTGGATTCAGCAGGGTGAATCCCGGTAGCATCAATTTTGAATCCCAGAAAATCTGTAGAAGGCACCCCAATTTTACATTTGTCCTTCTTAAGTTTGAGGCCCGTTTGCCTGAACTGTAGCAGGACAGCCCTAAATCTCTCAGCTAAGTTGTGTGTAGAGTCTCCAGCAATTAAGACATCATCAAAATAGCGGCAAACCCCTGGTATACCCCGTAGTGTGTTTTCCATTATGCTTTGGAAAATCCCAGGACCAACATTTACTCCAAATTGTAACCTCTTTACCTTGAATGCCCCCCTGTGAGTCACAATGGTTTGAGCTACCGCAGCAGCATCATCAACAGGCAGCTGTTGATACGCCTGAGCTAGGTCAAGCTTGGCAAAAATGCACCCCCCCCTTGAGGGAGGCCAGAATATGACTGACCACTGGGACAGGATAGGCATGTTGCTGCAATGCCTTATTCAGAGTGCATTTGTAATCTGCACAGATGCGAATGTCCCCATTTGCCTTAAGAGACGTGACAATGGGGGTCTCCCAAGGACTGGAGTCGACAGGTTCTAAAACTCCTTGCTGAATCAATTTGTCCAATTCAGTGTCAATTTTACCTTTCAAGGCAAAAGGAACCCTTCTTGCTTTAATTCTAATAGGGGTGACAGTGGGGTCTAATTTCAGTGA